CCCCAAAACCCCAAAACCCCAAAACCCCAAAACCCCAAAACCCCAAAACCCCAAAACCCCGACTTTTTTGCAAAAAATTGAAGATTATTACAGACTAGTTTTGGAATTTAGTCGCGATGTCTCGGACTCTGCTTTTAATTTGCATTCTCTTGTGGTTCTTTGGGTCTCGGTACCAGCTAGGGATTTCGAAGATTTCTTCTGGCAATTCTAGTTCAGCATATTTCCAGTTTCCTAATACTTGTGGGAATAGTCTTCAGTAGGATGAACCAAGATGTTGTTCTTTATCATGAATGAGATCAAAGGTTGAATCAAATGGTCGTAAAAGTCGAATGTATTGTGGTCCATTTCGAACGGAATCTGAAGGTCAGTGATTCCTTTGCATTTTGAGGCCAGTTCTTCAGCATGAGTGTACGGGATTAGAGTGTCTTTCTCTCCGTGGAGGATATAAGTTGGACAGGTTACATTCTCCATATGATCTTTGTTTTTAAATACATCACTTATCGCAAATTTTACCCATTTTCCTATGAGAGATCCGGCTACATCCTTGATTGAGGTGAAAGGACTCATCAAGATGAGCATTCCTGGGTTCTTTTTAGCAGCTAAAAAGGAAGCTGGGCCTGATCCTAGAGATCTTCCAAACAAGATGATATCTTTTTCTTGCATACCGAAATCATCAACTAAATATTCATAAACTCAGAGAGCATCGCTTTCGATCATCTCATCACTAGAGCTCTCATCTCTATAAATTCCATAACCTGGGTACTCAATTGCGATTATATGAACTTCGAGAGACTCTGAAAGATGATGTAGGAGGTCTTCAGCGAGACCAATATCCTCTGCATTTCCGTGGAAGAAGAGAAGGACCTTGCTGGAGCCGCCAAACCTTCCTTCATATCTAAGCAGGAGGGAAGGAATGTATTTATTTATCTCCATCTTTGGTCTCCTCTTTCTTGGGAATGTACAACAAGAGGCCATGTTCAAAACCTTCACTGTCGGGCTTGTATGATGATTCTGGAGAAGGGTAGACGATATTTTTAAATTTCATTTTTTATTATTCTATTTTAAGCATTATTAAAGGGGTTTTGGGGTTTTGGGGTTTTGGGGTTTTGGGGTTTTGGGGTTTTGGGG